GCTATGGCCAATAAAGCCCTGGTAGCAGCAGCTCCAATATCAGCATCTGTAAATGCTGAAAGCTTATAGACAAGCTCATCTAGTAAACTGAACAATACTTTCTCATCCAATGAGTTGAGAACTTGCCTGGAATGTAAAGAAATCCATAATAGTGAAACTGTAAATTAAGAATCTAAGTTATTTTAAAAAATATGATTACCAGAAATGTCCTTTTAGATGCAAGTTCAAGCCAAATTGAAGATTATGGCATTTTTGACTTACTTTTATTATTATAAATTCATGCCATCAGGCCACTAAGGATGGACCAAAAATTGTGATCACTGAACAGTTTTTTGCAATATTTTAATGATTTATTAAAAAAAAATTAGAATTTTTGGTTTATATAAGCTTCTATTGGAGATTTAATTTTAGTAGAGACAATGACATAGTCCCCGTTGGAAATGTTATTCATGCCAAAAATAAAGTAATATGGACCAAAAGCATAGTTAGTAATTGAGAGTGAATTATTGGCTGGTCTAGTATGAGTATCATCTTCGTTCGAACAGGGACTAAAAATATGGTATACTACTGGAAAGTACAGCTCTAAACTCGTTTACCAAAATGCTAGCGTGGATTTAATGCACGTTAACGCGATGTTAGCTTTGCTGCTGTTTACTTGACATATACAGTCTGTTTATCCTAGAATGTTACTCTGTGTACTGTATTTACTCTATGCACTGAAATGAATGCCTTAGATTTGTCTATATATGGTCAAATCAAGTTATATTTTAATGATCTGGTGTTTAATAAATGCAAATAACGATTTACATGGATTAGATCCCCCAGAATCTCATGAGTTCTATGGTGTGTTTTTACCTGAAGCTAGGATTTTTCAAAAAAAAAAGTTGAAAAGACAAAACAAAATGGTGGTACAAACATAGTTGAACTAAAGCAGAGGAACCAGTATAGACTATTTGATAGTATTTGACTTACATATTGGCTCTAATCATGGACTGAATAAGATACATCAGAGCAATGGATGTTTCTTTATCATCTGTTATCATCATCTGCATCAAATAATTAGATCTGAGGACTAGAAACATAGAAACCAAACTTGACATAAATATTCCTTACGTATTTGTTCTATTGAGTCAAACTCAAAATCATGAACTCTGTTCGAATAGAGTCTGGTTGAAACTCAGCAAGCGTGGCACGAGTCAAAATCGTTCTGTGTATGTTTTGATACTGTATGAATCACAATGGTGGCTTGAATACCAGCTCATAGCGTGTGCGCACACATCTGCAGAACATGCATCTCGTCTGCCATGTTTGGGTCAACAGATTGACGAATGAGAGTGTGATTTCAGCACAAGCCCAATAGGTCCCAAGGAAATCCTGATGCGAGTCACATGTGATTAACATGAGCGTAACTGTTGTAATCCCTTAACAAACATGAAGAATTGATAATATTTAGCATGTGCCAAGAACATGCATCGTAAGGGACGACGTCAAAACATCGATGTCGGATAAAAAACTTAATTCCTTTAGTTTTTTTCCAAACCTCCCTACCCCCCACTGAAACTTAATTGATAAATATTGGTCATGGCGTCAGACTACCTTCACCATTAAATACAAATTGATAATTGGACAGTAGTATAACATAGCAGTTGGTTGTCGGGTGGGTGTAAAAATATTTTACAAATGCACCTCATTTGACGCAGATTTACACTGTTTTTTTTCCCCTTTTCGGTTATTTCTGTCCATGATTGGATAGAAAAAAAAAAAAACTACAAATACTCCAAGATTTTTTTGACTTCATTAAAAAATAAAATCGTTTTTGTAGGATGGAAACTTTTTGAGGTCAAAACCCCCCACCCCCAAACTAAAGGAAATAAGTTTTTTATCCGACATCGATCTTTTGACGTCGTCCCTTGTCGCATACGACTTGTTTACCACTCCCGTGTGACTGAGAATGTTCTAGAACCGTACTGTGTCTGGGTGGAATTTTTAGAAACTGGTTGAATAGGTAATAGGACACTGTAGGAGGCAATAGAAGGTAATGGAACATTCTAGAAATTTGTAGTAAGTTCCAGACTCATTATGTATGCTGATGTAATGGTCTATTTATAAACAGTGTGGGTATATACAGGGGAGTTGTTCAGCACTGAGATCAGATCGGGGATCTCGTTGAATTGTATTGGAGTTTAAGTATCTAGTTATTGGAGTAGTGGAGTTTTACCGCGTTATTGTACTTGATGTTTGCAGAGTATAATAATACCAGTACCAGTTGAAACCTCATCTGTTGGCTCCGTGTTCGTATTTTATCATCGCCGCCAGGGACGTCTTTTTGTTACTGTTGCCATTTTGGTATTTGAACCATCACACCTGTACTATACCAATTACGGTAATATTACGTTGCGTGTGACATCCCTAAACGATGTTAGTGTCTACACCAATATACACACATGGCCTTCATGTGACATAGCAGCTGTAATCACCCACTCATTCAAAATTAAACACTATTGATTGGACAATGTTAAACAAACTCATTAACCTCCCCAGGTTTCTGCCTTTCACTGTATTTTGTAAATTTAGGACATCCAGACATGCAGGAGACAAGTTTCAATGTTTACTATGTCACAATTTTTATGATATATCCTTTCCTGTTAAACCTAAAGTGACATTATTTCTTTCTTTTTTTACATATTTTTCACATTTCTAAATTCCATTCCGTTGATGTTTGATATAATTGTTGAGTTAACATTAAAGGTTGTGAAAGGCCAAAATAAAAAAAAAGGTTAAAAATGAGCCTTGAACCTGGATCTCATCCTCAGTGAGGTGTGTGAGAGAGTCTGAGGCAGAACTTAGAATAATAAGTTTTTCATCCTAGGTTGGACTTTTGATGCAAAGGAATCAACTTTCCAATACTTACCATTGGTTGTTAGGAATGAATGTCCACCAGCTAGATATTTAATCTGATCAGTAATTTCATTAAAATTCTTTATCAAATCATCTTTCAATGCCAAGGTGTTTTCTGGTATCTTGATATATCTATGTTGTATGTTTCGACACAGTATTAACAGTCTTTCTGTGATTTCAGGTAAAAACACACCATAGAACTCATGAGATTCCGGGGGATCTAATCCAACAGAAGCTTGACTGAAATATAAATATAAAAAAAATGCTTAATTTCATGCAATAATTCTTTTATTGAATAAATAAATATAGAAGTTCATGAATATAATTATCATGCACAATTTCTGGGACAACAGTGGATCAATAAAGTTCAGCTGGTCCCCGGATTAGGATTTAGAGTTAGATTAATTTTTGAGTGACTGAGTATTTTACTCATGATTTTTATAGATTTTGAAAAACAATACAAATCGTATTCCTGTAGTATAAAAGGAAGACTGTCAATCCCTGGGATTGCACTAGGTAATCATGAAACACCATTGTGTATGTTGTTTACTCGGTAAACTCTTGTTTTCCATTGTATTTTATTCCATTGTATTGTATCCAATAAGTGCATTTGCTGCAACTTCAGGCTTAAAGTGTAACTGAATTGGGACAATTGACTTTTTTTGTGTGCAAAAATTATTTATAAACAACATTATGAAAAAAAATCAAGTGAAAAATGTACATAAATTAAATAAACGATCAATAATAATGTTCTGGATAAGGAAACATCCACGTCCAATTTCTTGGCCGACTCAGAACGAGGCTTCAGCTAGAGAACCTAATTAGCATACAAGGGTGATTTGTGACGTCACGGGGGGAACTTGTCACCGTTTCACAATGGCCGCTATACGCATGCAGTGCTCGGAAGCGACACGGAATCTATCTTATCATCGTCTGACGAGAGTTGTAAGATCGAGGAATATGATGACAACGAGAGATGTCACGATTTTGTTTTAGAGTGCCAGGGACAAAGTGGCCCATACAGGTTTGAACCTGCGAGAAAAGTATGCGATGTGGGTGACCGTGTAGGGTCATTCCAGTTTTTGTCCCCCCCCCCCCTACGGATGGTTTAAATCCGAGGGGTCATATTTTTACAAAAAAGATGGATGGTTCAATTCCGAGAGGTGTCATTTTTTGACTATTTGTTTTTCTATATCCACACCCCTACAGATGATTTAATTCCGAAGGGGGTCATATTTTTGATTATTTTTTTTTCATATTATCCACACTCCCCACAGATGATGTGAATCCATGCGGTCATAATTTTTAAGCTTCCAAGGGGTAGGTTTGTAAAAAAAAAAGTGTCAGCCAAGAGACCTGACAGGCTTCACAATTATTCACTGAAAAACATCGGCATATTTTGACAAACGGATGGGATTTGACCTCAGTTCAAAAAAAAAAGAAAGAAAAAACAGGGCTGAGATACAAATCAGTTTTGCAAGTTGGTAAATAAGGTAAACCAGACTGAGGTCGACGATTTTCAGTATCGAAGGACTTCCGTGTGAATCATGATTTTCAAATTGTTCATCGGCTGGTCACCAAATATTTACGGCTACAACTAAATGGACACGTTTTTTTCTGAAGACCGATACATTATTTCTGCATGTCAAGTGCTATTCGATTTTTTACAGGGCATGTGGTTTTTATTTGAAAATATTTTTTGTGAGAATACTTTTAAAGTACGTATAGATCGAGCTCAGGTCACTGATCGTGACTTAATTTTGAAAATTGGATGTCAAATTTTACCAGACCGACGCCATCACAACCATCCAATCATAGTTAGAAATGTACGCACTTTGTATCAAGATGGCTGGCGACAACGCCTACGCACCAGGCGGCGTACGTGTGTTGTGCATGTATTAGTAGTCCGGCCATGGGATCGGTTCTCTTACCAGAAAATAAAATGAGCTAAAAAAAAGGTAATTTTATAACAAAAACAGTTTCATTTCGTATATAGCAAATTTTGTTGTATCCGAACGACGATTTCATCCTGTGATTTAAATTTATCACAATTTTCCTTGCAGTCAATACGACACTCGACACCTTGCCGATTGTAATGTACTTCACAAAGTTTTTGGTGCCCAATACTCGCAACACTAAAATAATTCAACAAGATATCTTTTTAGTAAAATGTCATTTTACTCATGTCACAATACTTTGAAGCTGATGCCATGTTGATGCCATAGACTGCGAAGCTGAGGCCACGATGAT